ATATATATATATATATATATATATAGTACACACACTTTTCGGTGATTACTTAAATTGCTCATTTGACTAATTACAGGTCGATAGGATCCACTGTATATTGAAGAAAAGTGACAATATAGGGGGGGGGGGCATATGGCCCCATGATACTGTTCTTGAGGCCAAGCACCCAAGCATACCCATGGCCACTTTATACCCCTCACGCCCTCTCATCCTTGTCTATATAAAGCTCAAGCTAATAGTAACAGCCTGTCAGCCTAAAGCACAATGAGCTGAGGGTGAAGCGAGGAGAATTTAACTTCAACAGCTCTTGGTACGGTAAACACAAGCAAAGATTCTAATTTGCCAAATCCCTCTGCAAGGTAAGATCCTGATTGTCCAATCATTATTGTTTGAATGTTGGGAGTTGATTTGCAGGGTTTAGCAACTACTAGACACAGTTGGTCTACAGTGTAAAAGAGAGAAGTAGGGATTTTATGGCCCTCTGGTGCAGTCTGGGTTATATTTTACAAAACAAACAAATGGATTTTTTTGTTTTTAAAATTAGTGATTGTCATGATAATCGTCAAGTATTGCATAGAATGTGTGGAATTGATTGTTTGTCTAATCAACTGGGTCAAAATGGAGTGCACTAATTGGCTTCCACCAGCAGAGGTAATAAAGTTGTGTTCAATACGACAACGGGACAGAAACGCTAGTGAAGAGAAAGATTCACAATAAAATATTTGAAAAAGAAAAAAACAAGTAATGAATGCTATGACTGCTTTCGTCCAGAGACATTCAAGCAAATGTTCATCCAGCTTTTGTTTCAAGGAAGTAGTGATGGGCAATACCAGACAATGTTGACCCAATTTCATATCGAATACTTGTAAATACCAAAACCGATAACAATTTTTTTCTAAATACCAAAACCGATACTTTGTGTGGGGTTTTTTTGTCCTAATTAAGCACTCGACAATAACCGCCCATTTAACAATTGTTATATGTTTTGTTCAAAACATGTTGATGAAAAAAAAAAAAAAATGACATTACTTAGAGGGGAAGTCATCTAAAACACATCTTTGCAATAATATATTATATGCGCCCCCATTAGTCTCAAAGCGGCATTACGATTAATATTACATTTGTGGAATGTGAAATCCAGCTGTTTTTATCCCTCTCTGGGGGTGAGCATTTTGCCAATCGCTGTCGACTGAAAATGACATCACAGTTGCTTAGGGCTCACGTTACGACCAATTACAGCAATTGCTAGCAAACGTCACATGACCAAACTCATGAAACAGGTGAGCTGTGATCAGTCATCACTTGAGTCCTGAGCAACTGTGATGTCATTTTCAGTCGAAAGCAAGTGGTAAAATGGCCACCCGCGAGATACATACGAGGTGGATTTTTCGGATTAATTCATACTACACAAAAAAGAAAAATCAAAAAGATGAATCAGAATGGCGTGTTGAGACAAGTGGGGGCACATTGAATATATTATTGTAAAGAAAATCTTTGAGTTGATTTCCCATTTAACTTGACATTTTAATTTGTCAAATGAACGATAACTTTGGTGAGCAGGATTATTCATCAAACAAATGTCCTTACAGGAATGCAATTTAAAAGTACTTGTAATTTCTTCAAATAATTATGAATTAAGTTGTAATTTTTTTGAATACAATTCTTAAATACAATAAAAACCTCACATATATTTGAACACGTTTTCAGGAACAGTAGCAAACCATAATCACATTTGTCATACAGCTTGTATGTAGTAAATTCTTCGAACAATTGTGAGACACATTCCCTTTTTATTAAATTTATTAATTAGGGTGCATTCACAAATTCAATCTGACACTCCAACTTTGCTGTGATAAAAGTGTTCCAAGAAGCAGAGCATCGTCACTTTACTTTAATTTACCAAGATTTTATTGTCAAATCCATTCAAATCCCACAACAGCCCAGAACCCTTGCATCTTTCATGAATAACTTCCATCTTGTCTCGCCTCAGGCTCTGACGCTCTGTGTCCACAGTCAGAGCAGCCAGAGCGCACTCCAGGCACCCCCAAAGTGTGGCACTCTAGTCTAAATAACCAAATGGCACATTCCAACAATGCTGTGAGTTTGCAAACGGTCGGAGATGAGCAGACCGTGCTTGGAGAAATTTCCGAATACACCCTTAGTAGAAATACTTTATGAGCATAGTCAATATTCAATTGATACTCGTGAGATTATCAATACATCATTACCACTGAATCAATACACCCATCCCTGCAAGGAAGTAACTCCATGATGATAAAAAAAAAAAACTAATGTGTATCCCCATGTCCACCAAGTAAGTCCTGTATTCAATATTTTGCATTTTGACGGGTAACAAACTGATCCAAACTGTACCAATTTGGCAATTTTTAAAACTTTTACCCATCAACTGAAGTATACATGTCACATCACGGACACATTGTGTTCACGTTCTAAGTCACTTCTATTTTTGGAATGTGAACATGTACTTGTTCACATTCCAAAAAGGTCGGATTTTACAAAAAAAACAAATAATCTGAATTGAGCATCACACTCTTCAGTGTGAACATAGCCTAATAGTAATGAATATCATCAGCATGAGCATAAGTTTAACGATAAATCAAATCCATATTGTTGTATTTACACTAGTTTGAGGTACTTCAAATTTGATGGTACAAATGGTTTAGCAATAACGATAATAAAGACAAATAATGTTAATATATTATTTAATACAATCCATAGCAAAAGCTTTGGAACAAGATTGCATTGTTAGTCATGTCCAGATAGAGCTTTGCATCAATGTGCTAATATTTTGGCTACAATTAAGCACCAGACGTTTCAGTAAAATTCAGTGCCCTTCTACACTACTGCTAACGATGACCACAATAACAAATATATTGTTCAACGAATACAGTGCCAATCAAAGCATTAAACATTATTATCCTTATGACATCACTACTACATTGGATCTCACTCATATAGGTGACAGATTAATGCACATGTTCATTTACCTTAAGGGTAAAAAAAAATAAAAATACACTCTACTCATCAAACTTTATTAAATGTGCTGCTTCTGACAGATTTAATTTATCCCGAGCATCGTTAATGATGTGTCCACATGGTCCCTGGACTTGTATCATTCATGTGTTGTTGTTAAATTCTCACTCAGGTTCACAAACCCATCAGTGCCAAGAGACACTTGTCGGGTCGGTTTCTGTCATTCTGCTTCAATCCTGTCTGATGGGTTGTGGGGCCCTTGGAACTCAAGGAGACATTTTCTTTCCCTCTTTCGGTATTTGCATTGTTTTGGTTGTGTTTTCCACACGATCAAACACGTGAATTGCATCTTAATTTGCAGAGACGTGAATAATCTTCCCTGGGCCAAGAGGGACCGTTGCAACAAGACTGTCTTATCAAGTGGATTATTGAGTAATAACATGACAAAGAGGGCCATGAGTCATTCCAGCCAGAGATGGCGGTGATGCAGCGTGTTACGCGATGTCTTCAGATAGCAGATATGTTTCGTTCGATTGCGGATTAAAGAAACACGACACACTAGTCTTCTAACTACGACTAGTTCAGCGATGAGAGCGTACACTCATCAATAAAAAACGCTGAGGTCAGAATACGCTCAAACACAAAGCTTCGGTCACAGCAGGCAGTCGATGTAAACTGCCGTGCTGTACCATGCTAACTC